TATTACAATTGGCCTAATGGATGTAATTTGCCAATATTATTATGCGTTAAAGCTTCATTCGGACGTACCAGTGTTGATTTGTGCAGTGGTAAATCTCAAACCACTACCTGTCGAAATACCTTAAAAGCCAGTTTAATAAAAGCAATTTAATGAAGATTTTTTTTTAAATTGAATTTAATATAGAACCTGAGAGAAAAAAATAATTTTTCACTTGAATTGCTTTCGTGAAACTGGATTTTAAGGTATTTCATCTCAGTCTATGTATGTATATTGTATTGTATTTCTGTTGAACACGGATACGCATCCATTTTGAAATTGCCACCAACTATAAGATAAAGTTTCTAGGGCAAATTCACTATAGATCCGGATCATTGTTGTAGCCGGGGACCTTCTTCATGGACATAACACTTTGGTTAGTTTATTTAAGGCGGCAAACGACCACCAAACCATAATCTTAGCCGATGAATTTGCCAATGGAAATCGTGGACTTTTGGAGAAAATGTTGGGCCAAAACGATTAAATTAAAAATCTAATTACGGGCGGGACGAAGATCGCCGGGTCGGCTAGTGTTACATAAAAAAGGGTTTATGAAGTATGCAAACGTATTTACATTTAAATAATTTCAAATCGGCAAATATTTTTAAATCATGTGCAATATTTTTGTCTAGCCATGGAAAATGATGAAATATCCTTTTTTTTGAGATCATGAATAAAAAAACGTATGTAGTTTAGCTTCGAAACTTAAAATAATTTGCGACAAATTAAAAACATTTTTATTTTCTCCTTTTAGAGACAAATTCAAGTTTTTCAAATGTTCCATTATATCGGTGAAGAACATTAAATCAGAAAGGCAACTTTCATTTTCCAAATTGCAGGTTGCTAAGCAAAGAGCCGCGATTGCCCATCGTTGCCATATACATACCCAGTGGCATGGTTAAATGCAACATCGAGTTTGTGGAGGGAATGAGAGTCTAGTTTGCTGTACACTATTTCGAAATACATAATTTGAAGAACAACAAGGCTTGAGGCCAGCTTTTTTTCGTGTCTGAGTGCACGAAAAGTGAGGTTACTCTGAGGCAGCGCAAGGTGTAATAAATTTTTCCCACCACTTCATTGATGTGGTCCTCACAAGTCAGCTTGGAATTTATAGTAAAACCCAGGTTTCTCACTTTGTCAACCAATTGAAGCTTTGCAGTTCCAACATAAAGGTGGGGAATGTCAGAAAGTAGGATTTTATCTTTGAATATTTGTAATACATACGATTTTTGAGCATTTAGGCAGAGGAGGTTTTCAGCAGACCATTCAAGAATCTAGCACAAGTCCTCATTAAGTTTACGATTAATATCCTGAACCATGATGATATGGTTAGAGATACATATATAATTGAACATCGTCAGCGTAAGCGTGTATACGAACATGTGAGCAAGAGTTGAAAATATCATTTATAAAAATACTGAAGAGGACAGAGCCCTGTGGTACTCCGCAACATGTTCCCACCAACCCTGAAAATGTGTTGCCGACTTTAACTTTCTGCATTTTGTTACTTAAATAACTGTTTAGAAGCTTTACTGCATTTACATCAAATCCAAAATAGTCAGTTAATTTGCCACAAAGAAGGCTGTGGTTGACAGTGTCAAACGCCTTGGGGAAATCAAGGAGACATAAAAGTGTTAGGTGGCCTTGGTCAAACTCTTGACGGATATCGTCCAGTACATTGGTGATGGCAGTCGAGCAAGAGCGAGCAGCTGATTGACAAAGGCTGAGTAGGTTATTATTCTCAATGAACTCGGATATTTGTTGCGCCATAAGCATCTCGAATACCTTCGAAAATCCGGTCAGTATGCCTATGGGTCTAAAATCAGCAGGAACGGAAGCACCAGGTTTCTTAGCTAGAGGGGTAATGATTGCTACTTTCCATCCTGAGGGGAAAGTGCAAGTAGTGAAGCAGTGGTTTACCAGATGGGTGAGACAGCTTATAATATTTGGTAAAATTAATTTTATAAATTTAATTGGGATGCCGTCGGTGCCAATTGCGTTGAATTTTATGCGGTAAATGCAATTAGCTACTTCAGTTTCAGCTACCGATACGAACTGAAATTTCCTTGAGGGCGATGATCTGGAAGAGGCTTTCATGTGTTGTGAGCTATTATGTACTACGGGTCAGTACAGTGGCGACTCTCGTTGTGATAAGATCATTTCTAATCGTCAGCTTAACTAATCAGTTTCCACCAGCTATCAATAGTGAAGAAACATAAACCAAAAGAACAAAAAATAAAAAATAAAATTTGCGTACCATACTGTGAAACCAACAAATAAACAAGAACTAAACCACCAAAAACAAACACCACGTGCAGACGTGGTGCACTAGTAACTAGTAAACAAATAAGACCAAAAAGGAAGGAGAAAAAAAAACAAGTGTACTGAGAATTTACAATAGTTTCGGCTCCACTAACATTGAACAACATGAACGACCCTCCTAATATAGCAATTGGACAAAACCATAAAACCAAAATTTTTAAGCTTAGGACCAAAATATCTCATTATGACCAGAACCAACAACATTAATACACTCTCCAACGTTTCCCCCTTTTTACTTAAAAAGGCTATCGACATTACGTGCAGTGGTGAGGTTGAATAATGTAAGAAAACTCGTAGTGGAAGTGTCTTAATAAAAACAAAAAATCCTGTTCAAGCAAATAAATTAATAACATGCTCTTTCTAACGAAATTACAATTCAAATTACTGAGCACAAAACATTGAATTATTCCAAAGGTGTGATTTACTGTAACGCCCTGCGTGGCATCCCCCAAGACGAAATTTTGGAGGAACTTAAATCGCAAAACGTGTGCCAAGTTGAAAAAATCCTTAAAAAAGATAACAATAACTTGATAGAGACGGGACTAGTGATCTTAACATTCGATTCAACTACATTACCAGAAGATATTCGTATTGGCTATGAAAAAATCAATATCCGACCACATATAGCGCGACCACTCAGATGCAACAATTGCTTTTACTATGGACATATCTCCAAATTCTGTAAAAATAACAAAACATGCCCTTTCTGTGCAAAAGACTACCATTTAAATTCAGAAAGTAAAGAAGAGTGTAGAAACACTAAACTGTGCATCAACTGCACTAAATCCAAAATTACTCCAAACGACCACGCAGCTATAGACAAGAAGTGTCCAATATTTATTAAACAGCAAGAGCTGCAAGCAATAAAAACAACACTCAAAGTTGATAACAACACTGCCTTCACCATTTATCAAGAACGTCACCAACACGATCATGCCACATACTACCTTTCTGTTATTACCACCCAGCCACCGATTGAAGCTAATAGCCAATCTCAACCAACAACCGTATTACCACCTTTCCACCGCGACCAGCTCAACTCAACTCACCCATCAGCACTACAAATCAACACGGACGGCCAGTCGCCACTTACAGCGATGTTGTAATTGACTCCGACTCTGAACCAAATTCAACTACATCAACACGTGATTTAGCTTCGAAAGTCATCTCCAACACCAAACTCAAAATCTTCCCGAGAAATACCTCAAAACGCCTCATATCTCAGTTAAAAAGTGAAAACAAACCAAGTACAAAATCTAATGTCAAACAGTCTGGCAAAGCAACAATTAATTACGAAGGCGAAGAAGCTATGGAGGATTTTTAAGTTTTCTGAGCTGATCCAAAAGAAAATATTTAGCCCTTTTCTTACGACTATTATTTATCAATCACACACATATCTATTATCAATCAACTTATACAACACAACTACAAATTATAATTTACCTATACCCAGTAGAACTTGGGAGCATCGTACGATTGCTCGGTGAGTACTCCCTTGGGAGTATACGAATACTCCCCATTGCTCCCTATGCTTCTGTGTATAAGCGTGTAATTTTGTATACTCCCTTTAACATTGGATGTCCTAGGGGGGGAGTAATCCCTTTTACCTCCTAAACGAGCAATCGGGGAGCACACACAGAATTATCATCCCACAAACCTCCTAAGGGAGCAATACGGGAGTACTCCCATAATAACCTCCCAGAAACCTCCCAAACGAGTAATAAAGGAGTACTCCCATAAAAGTCATCCAATATTACTCCCAAACGAGCAATAAGGGAGGACTCCCATAAAAGTCATCCCACATTCCTCCCAAACGAGCAATAATGGAGTAGTCTCATAAAAGTCCTCCCACATTCCTCCCAAACGAGCAATAAAGGAGTACTCCCATACAAGTCATCCCGAAACCTCCTCAGGGAGTAATTAAAGAGCACTGATTAAAAATGAGTATATTTTCCATTAGGCGAAAACAAGTTTTCGATTCATTTATTTATATTTAAATAAATAATTGTAACAAAAAATTAAACTTATTCTTTTTTCTTGTAAAATGAAACAGATTAAGTACCAGCGAAACTTTGATTTTGTTTTTCCCCCTCCAATAATTGTTATTTTTTATCTTTTATTTAATATCTAGTGCACGATTTCTGAACAAAATTGTGTCATTTTTAATTTTAACAGGCTGATAAATTAAAATTTGATTGGTATAACCGAGCATAGGTATGTAAAATTAAAATGCGTCATTGTTTTTTTTCTCAATATTTTTTATTGATGTCATGTATATTATAGGATTTTTAGCAATTTGCATGAAAAGCCAAAAACTAATTAATTTAGAATGAAATTTCTACTTAAAAACTAGCAGCATTAGTTAAAAAATACCTATAAATAGACTAAGTAAATCAGAAAAACTTACATAAGTAATTTCGAAGTTAACTTTAAGAAAATAACTTTTATCAATTTTCTTAGCGTTAACTTCGAAATAACATAAGTTTTTCTGATTTACTTAATCTATTTATGGGTATTTTAAACTACCACTGTTTGTTTTTAAGTAAAAATTTCATTTTGATTTACGTAATTTTTGGCTTTTCATACAAATTGCTAAATATATATGTCATCAATAAAAAATATTGACGTGCTAGAAAAAAAAACAAAGATACCTAGATATTAAAAAATTACATAATTATTGGAAGGGGGGGGGATTTAAATATCGCTGGCCTGTGGTATCAACAGTAAAAAATTCGATCAAACTAACATTATAACAAATATCTACTTTTTTTAATTTATAAGTTTTTCTATAAAAGTAAGCTTTGCGTTTGTGGAAGGCTTGCTTAAAATTTGCTTCATAGGCCTCGTAAGTTAAGATTTCCTCCTTCAAAGCATCTGTAAAAGAGTATATATTTATAACAAAAGAATTACTGAACAATTTGGTATCATTACCAAAAAAGAACGTATTAAAAAGCTTATAGTTATTAATTGCCACCTTATTTTTTGCGCCATCCCAGTTGATTTTTAAAATTAACTCGTCTCCAAAAATCTCGTCGATAAATTTAAAAATTGGCCTTCTTCCGAACTTGCTTCTTAGATAAGTAATCTGCAATTAATAATTTATAAAAAAATTATAAACATGTGCGTGTATTTTAAAAAATACTTACAACTTCCTGCTCGTTTTTACTTAAAATTAAAGTCTCAGCAGCTTCCAGGTCTTCAACGGAATCCAAGGGGAAAACTCCTAAGTCCTGTTTTTTGGTTTGAGCACTTTTAAAACCTCTTCCAAAAGAACGCTTTGCTTTGAGGCCAGTTGCAAAAGGTACCGATTTTGTTCTTCCAGTCGTTTTAAGGCTTCAGTCACCGGGTCAGTGTCGGTACGAGGTCCACTTACTATATTGCTTGTTCCTGTAATTAAGTATAGTAAACAAAAGATAAAAAGGCGTAACAAACATCATCGCTTAAATAGAAAAAGTCGTGAGTAATAATATTTTTGCATAAAACGATGTGGGGAGTTGCAATTCGATCAAATCCATAATATCAATCAAAAATTGAACTTTGAATTTTTTATTGCTTACGACTTTTTGCATTTCACGTGACGATATGAGGTTTTCTTTTAAATCGGTAAAATATATTTATATATCTACATATATATACCCTTGGGGTCAGCTGATTAAGTCAAGAGACATTTTGACTAATTTGGTTATTTTTCTATTTTTCTGCATACCCAAAAATTTCTAAAAATTGTAAATAAAAAGTTTAAAATTTTTGGGTGCAAATGTAAATTTTTTTGCATAGCGATTGAAGAAAATTCAAACTTTAAAATCGAAAATGTTACTCATACGGAATGTTGGAGTATGTATGAGTACGGCCGTGTACGATATGGCGTATGAGTAACATTATTTTCTCTTGGTAGTAAAAGTCAATCAATCAATTTAATTCAACGTGGCGTATGATAAACTTTTTTGAAAATTATGCTGAGTATTTACAAATTCAGCATAAAACAAATGTAAATACATATGTATGCATAAGTACCAATTATTTAACATACCGCTTCCGTTGTAAAAATGGATCCTATTTGCCCGGACAACCAAGAGGTGCTAGCGCAATCTAAAAGCAGATATATTAGTCAAATAAATTCGTATACAAAAATAATATGCTGTTTATATACAAACCAATAAAACTGAATTGGAATTCGCGGTTTTTTCCATTACTTTAATTTCTTCCCGAGTTGATACGTTGAATTTTTAGTTATTTTTAACCGACTTCCTACAAAGGAGGAGGTTATCAGTTCGTCGGAATATTTTTTTTTTTTTTTTTTTATGTATGTTACCGCATAACTTTGCACCACGCAACGGAAAGGTAGTGTCTCAGAGGTGGTCCCATACTAATTTGGTTTAGATCCGATGATTGGATCATGAAATATATAGATATACATATATTTTTGTTAAGTCGGTTAAAAATTACCTGTTCTCTTATTATTTTTTATTGATAGCTTATTCGGTGAAATCAAAGTTTTCTTAAAGCAAAAGTTTTCAATGGCAATTGTGAAGTATTGGAACAAAGTGGATAAATGTTTCTTCAGCGAGGGGAAACAACTTGCAGTAAATGTTTTTTACTTCAATTTTTGTAATAATTTCGCTTAAAGTGCTCGCTTTGACTATACCCAATGCGCTCTTTGAATCGACGGGATATTGAAAGGAACTTGTTGTGTCGCTAAATAATTTACCAACTACAATCGGCTGTTCATCTTGTTTTGCAAATCCAGTTATTTTCAAAACATCCGATTTTTGCGTTAAACAATAACAATCCGGCGGTTTATTGCTTAGGAAAAAATCACCACACTGGTACTTAGTGTAAATATTAGAATTATTCATACTGCCCATTGGACGAAATATTTTTTCGCTTGGGGGAATAAAACTCCTTTCAATTACGCGGTTGTTTAGTTGCTGAGCTACTTTACACGATTTTCGACAATTTTTTGTAGGTAATTCTCAAATTTATATGACGAAAAGCTGTCCACATTGCCAAAGTTTTGTACGCATTGAGATATGTGTAAGAGATTGTGAACGTTGTAACTTATTCTATCAGCACCAAAAAGTTTTGCGAAGTCTTCAATGTACGCTTCTAAAAGCTGTTGAACGCAATTCAGGTTACTTTGACATACTTTTGGGCAAGATATGAAGCGATATGCCACCATTAATAGCAAGAAATGCTGGTAAAGTTCTTGATCAATCGCATCTTTAAAAATAACGAAACCCGTGTATAACACCACTTGGCGAAACTCCGTGGCTTTCCAACGAGGCAATTCTTCGAAGGATCTACATTTTCGGCCAAACTCCTTTGGTGTGCATTTGCGAATAATTTTCATCCTTTCGTTTATCAAATCTTTTCCAACCAATTTCTTTTTTTTTGTCCAAACTTTTCCCTTGCCATAATAGCATGCAATTTTTTTTGACGACCCCTAAATCAAATAAATGCATAACATCTGAAGGAAATTGTGTCACCATCTTTACACCACACTTTTCTAGTGGATGTGGATATTCTAGAAATTTCGGTACGTGATAATTGGTTGATGTTCGAAAAGCAAAACTTTCGTCGGTCCTCATTTCCCCAGTAGTTAAGCTATAAGCAAGTCGTCTATTTTTACTTACAGCTTTTTGCTGACATTTTGAGCAACCATATGAGCATGTATGTCCAACGGTTCCTGTTAAAAAAGCTCTAGCTGGCGCGTCGCAAACAATAGCTCTAATTTCCGGTTTGAACCATCTTTTAGAACAAAGCATGCCGTTGGTTTTAAGAGAGATATATTCACTAACAAACCTCTCCAAGTACTTCACAACATCTGGGGGCTTGGAGGGTCCAATATACGTGACTATTAAAAACGGCGATGGTTCATTACAATTTGAAATTGCTCCCAAAATTGGCCATAGCGTTTTGCAGGAACTTTTAAAAATTGGCAACCCATCACAAAATATACATATCTAATAATAATTTTTCGCCTTCTATATCCATATTTTCGACTTGAGCGCGAAACGATTTTTCTAACCCAAAATGGATCTACAATCTACAATGATTTCTTTTGGTTGATAACTTTGGAGCAGTGTTTTTTTTGTTGAAGGTAGAGGCAAATTTTCTTTTTTCAAAATAGCGAGAAGCTCATTGCACATTGTCACGACACGATTTTTTATTGCCCATATTGCTAATTTTTTAGTAAGCGATGGCTCTTCGTCGCCATCATATGTCGAGCAATTAGGGCTTTCGCTTTCTTCGTTTACATCAACATTACTATATGCATAATTTTCTTCCGCTTCTGCAATTAAATCGTTACTCACAATTAAATTTTGTAGCTCCTTTTTCGCAAGGCGTCTTAAATGTCTTTTTGATAAAAATTTATCGGAATCTACAAAATCATTGTAGTCAGTAATTAATATATAATAAATTTAAACAAAAGTAATACATACCGATAGCCGTTAATTTAAATTCGCTTTGACTTGCCATTTTTATTTTTTTCACCAAGGAAATGTTTGTTTTATATTGTTTTTCTTTTATGATAAGTTATTCCAAAAGCACACAATTTTTTTTAAATTTCAGTTCATGTGAAAGGAACCCTCCTGGATTTCTCTTTTTACGAGACATCGCTTTTTGTTCCTAAGCGAGTAATACGGGAGTACAAAAA